GCATATGGAGAAGCGTGTACTGCAGTTATTTGTGGACTAGGAACTCTACCAATGACTTTCTTTCTTATGATCCAATTTTTGATGCATGTCTATTCTGCGAATGTACACAACAAGTGTCAAGCTTTGGTAGTTTTAAAATTTCTTCAGATGCTTATTTCTTTCTTGCCATTTATTTTTTTAACAGATTTTGGACATACTGGGGCAAAAAATATATTAGTGTCAGAATATTACTAATACGATTACAGTAAAACATTTCGTCTGTTAGTGTTACGCAGGACTCTTTCGATTGTATATCTTAGCATGTCACACTGCATTTATGAGGCCCAACGCGAATTAATAAATAGTGTACTTCTAATCATATCTTTCTTTTATTGCCAAAGTAAGTAAGTGTTAACAATAGTAATGATTTCTAAGGTATGTTAAATAATTTATGGTGTATATGCTTTAATAATAATTGATATTTTAGTTTACTTTATAAATCAACTTATTTAAATAGATATGTATTGAATTCAACTGTGTAACGAAACTGTGCAATTTAATTTAAATAATGTATAATATAATTGAATTGGATAACTGAATTTTATGTACTTGATTTGTGTAATTGATTTAAAAATAATTGACCTATTTACTGTGAATTGAAAATATTTAAAATTTGTACTAATAATAAATAGTTGTAAAATATAACACAACGCTTTATTATTCATCTACCAATATTTCAACTAAGTTATTCAGTTAATGTTTGCGTCTTGCATTCTTTAGACACATGTAGTGTAAAAGTTGCACGTGTTAATTAAAAAAAATTAAGAACAAGACAAAATAAAAGTTAATACTAAGCAAAATATTTTTTACACGCTAAATCTAGTTTTTATCTTTACAGATTTTGATATTAATCTTTGCTATAAATGAAAGTAGATGATCGTCTAAAGTCACAGTGTTTTAGATGGGCTGTACATGAAGAGACAATCTTTTACTTTTGTTACTGAAAAAAACTAACATACAAAGTCAACGAAAGCGTGAGGTCTGGTGCAGGGAATTACCAGCAAAAATATTCCAGCTAATATTTTAAGGCTCTGTCTACACTACCACATTTTACGTGACAAATACATGTATGGATACGGACATGATTATTTAAGGCTTTGTTCCCAGCTAATATTTTAAGGCTTTGTCTACAATACCACATTTTACGTGACAAATCCATGCTTTGCTCCTAGTTAAAATATCCCAGCTAACATTTTAAAGCTCTGTCTACACTACCACATTTTACGGGACAAAAAGAATCATGTATGGACTTGATTATTTTAGGCTTTGTTCCCAGCTAATATTTTAAGGCTTTGTCCGAACTCAAAATTTACGCGACAAATTTGTGTCATGTACGGTATCCATGTACGGACATGATATTTGTCATATAACATTTTATAGTGTATACGGAGCTTTAGGTTACAATTTGATGTATGAAACGTCTCTTGTAGAACAATAAATAATGTAGGCCCATCTAACGTAATTTTGCAATTAAATAACACTGCAACGTTGCTGCTATACCGCAAACAACATTCGCGAAAGTTATAATAACGTGTTGTAGTTTTCCATGTTTAATTCATGGAGTCAACATTCGTTCTTTGTTTTCTGTTATCTGCCTTTCTCCCTTGCATACCGTTTTTCTTCATTCTTTCTGAGCACTCCCATAATGATGCATTGAGACTTGCAGAATGCGCCTTATAAGTCGGTAACATTGCAACGTTGCTGCTATACCTTATACGGTATACCTAAAACAACATTCGAGAACGTTACAATGACGTGTCGTGGTTCTTCTTTTTTTTTTTTCTTGTTTTTTTTTGTGGGGGGGGGGGGGGGGGGTAATCAGAATTCGTGAGCTGATAACAAGAACAGAACCAGGTAAGTGGAATGCTAGCTCTCAACGAATGCTTTTTTTTTCTTTTTTTTTCTGGTTAATTCATGCAGTGCATTTTATTTCTGAATAGAAACCTGTCTATTGTGGCTCGGGATACGTGTCATTAGAACCTAAGTCAAGCGAAGTCCCTACCCCACCCCTTACAATGTACAGTTGTCTTAATTATAATAAGCTTCATGTGTCTTATTTATTTGGTTAATTTCTTCTTGTGTGATTGTTTAAGCGGATATTGACTAACGATGAATTTCAAAGCAAAATTAATGGAATTGAATAGTTTGTCTTTGCTGTTTTATCTTCTCATATAAATATAATGTAAAAATGTTGCTCTACGAAAAATAAATATCGATTTCGAACAAATCTGTTTTAAACCCAAATAGAATCAAATGCATTATTATATAGAAGGTACCGGTAACGAAGATAATTGTGATAATTATCACTGAACGAAAAACAATATTGAACTGCATAAATATATGTAGCGCCTGAAGAGTTTTAGCGGTTAATGTTACAAATATTCTTCAATGTTTTATGCCCATTTAGATATGATGTGCCTATATATAGTCATGATGTGATGTCATCATGACCATATTTAGGCATGTCACATGTTTTTGTCAAATCAAATTTAATAGTCTGGACAGGGCTTAATCTATGGAAAGTTCTAGAGTGTGGCCACATCCGCTTTCTTATGGATGAGATACCATTCGAACGGGAAGCTTCTGCAAACTACATACCAATTGTATTCACTGGAATTGGGTAATCAGAATTTGTGAGCTGATAACAAGAACAGAACCAGGTAAGTGGAATACTATCTCTCAACGAATGTTCTTTCAAAATTACCTTTTAAGATAGTCGGTAAATGATGGTCGCAGGTTCGAATCGATCCGGAGGCAGTTTTTAAGTTAGAAAAAGACCGGACAAGGATGTGGCTGCCTTTACGTCTAACTTAAAGACACCTCTTTAACTAATTATCCCATTTTTATTCTTATTTTATTCATTGTTGCATTATTTATTTATGATTTCAAACTAGGATTTAGGGGGGGCCGGCCCGGCCCCCCCTTTTGGGAGGTAAAAAAAGAAAAAGAAAAAGAAAAAAAAGAGAGAAAAAGGAAAAAATGATGGCCAAGAATGCCTCAAATGCTGTCTCTTATACACATCTTATATTACCTTGCAGTATTTAGGCCCCCATACTACACATACCTTGTTGTGTTTCAGGTCCTCGGGGTCCGCCAGGTTTGAAAGGCGAGAAAGGGAACAAACCAGTCCCAGCAGTTCCAGGTGAGGGAAAATACTGTTGATGGGGATTAGAACATCGATAAGATGATAATGATAGTAATGAGGAAGACGAATGACGAAATGTTAAACATTAGTATACGACACATCGATTTGTTCGTGATGGTGATTGTAATTGGAAAATATGATGCTGATTTCGAAATAATGGTGTTGATGATAATGATGACAATAACAATGATAAAAAATTACTATATATAATGATTTAAATATTGATGATAATGACAATGATTTTGAAGATTGTAAGTATGAAGATGGGATGGGAGATGATTATGAATAATGTACAAGTATGGCATCATCTCTTGTGAACTAAATTATGTGAAAGCTCGTCTACATAAGATAGGAACTCAAAATGAAATAATAATTATATTCACCTTATAGGTGTACCAGGTATACCCGGATTAAACGGTGAACATGGATTGCCAGGAAGCAAGGGGGAAAAAGGTAATCTATAATTTTTCCGATGTACACGAAGGTGTGTAAAGTACATACTATGATGTGAAAATCCTGCTGTTAAACATATATTAGTGTATTATTGTAGTTAATAGGGAGTTTTCGATGCACGACGTTAACCTTAAATTTAACGGATGACGTCATAATTTATTCATCTTGCGTTGCGGAGTACGTTAATTTCAGGATTTTACGTGCTCGACGTACGTTAGTTACGGGTGCGCATGCGTATTTAGATTTGTTTACAAAAAGGGGTGGAGCTATCGCGCTGCATGTTGGGAACTAACGTTAAAGTTAAGGTTAAGGTCGTGCGGTGAAAACTACTTAATAATAATTAGGTAACCGTATTCATTATCGCTTGCGAAATATCCCGAATATTATTGTTATTACTTTTATTATTATCATTATTATTATTATTATTATTATTATTATTATTATTATTATTATTATTATTATTATTATTATTATTATCATCAACATCACTATCATTATTAATATTATAATTATTATTATTACTGTAATATTACTGTACCATTATCATTTTCATTACTAGGCCTATTAATATTTCTAATATACATTACTATTATTTTTATGTGACCGAAATGTTTAATACAGTATATTAAGCGCGCTGTTCATATACACAACCCTATGATGTTTATTCTCCTTACAGGTAGCCGGGGAATTATGGGATTGTCAGGTAACTACATTATCTGCGCTAATTTTTCAGATGTGCATTACTGTTTATAAATTATATTGTACTATGAAAATAAAAAAAATATATCCCTCCTATGCCTCACCCCTTGAATATTGTTGCTGAGGTCCCGTAAAATGACAGCGTATCGTATGTAACAACTTGTGTTTGTGAAACAAGTGCGTATACTGTGCTTTGTTCTGATTGGTCAGTTGTTTAATTTGATTAACACATTTTTACAACTGGTACTTATTGTAAAATTATAACGATTAAACAAAAGTTAATATAAATATGACGTCATTATCATTGAAAACGCAAGCAAACGTTCGTTAATGACATTCAAATCTATTTGTTTCAAGGTGAACTTGGTGAAAAGGGAGCACAAGGTTCTCCAGGTGTTCAAGGAATCAAAGGTGAGAGTCTAAATCCGGGAACTCAATGCGCCGTACGACAGTGGTACGACTGCTCATATGTGTGAGCGATAGACGACGCGACGCCGTCTGCTGATTGTCGGTGGCAGTCTGAACGCATCGTCATTAAAACCGATTCGATGGGCACTTCGTGGCGTGACGTTCTCCATAGAATCGCCTTAAACCTGTTTTCCACTAGGCGAATTAAATTTATTCGCGCGAATCGAAAGCGTCGGCTTATACGCATTCGCATTCACATTTATATCGGTGTTTTTGATAAGTGAAAAATTCGCACCCCATCAGATCTCAGGAAGCGAACCGACGCTGTCCACTAGGCGAATTTATTCCTGTCCTAAAACTAGGTTTTAGGACAGGATGGGCATAAAATTGGGTCAGAGGCAGCGGTGGCCCCAGACATTTGCCGACAAGGGGTCCGACGTGTCCAACGGAGGGGTCCGAACCAAGGCGACGACGAAGCCTTGGTCGACGGCTGGAATAAAAAAAAATACTGTTAGGGTTCATGGGGCAAGTTTCTATGGCTTAATTTGGTCCTAATATGTGCTTTTAAATCACAATATTATGGATTGGCAATCAAAATAGCGTTATTTGGATAGGCAAGTTATTATTTATTTTAATTTATTTAATTGGGTTTTTTTTGCAAAATCAATGACAACTTAGAAAGAACATGGACTATCAATAAATGCAATCTAGATATTAGAAGTAGAATTATATATACCGTACTCGCGCGAATAAGCGCCCCGTTTGAATAAGCGCCCCTTCTAATTTGAATAATATAATAATATTTTCTTTTTAGCAAGTCAATAACCCAATTAATCCCGGGACTGCTGTTGTTGGCATAATTGAGCTGCAGGTCAATATCAAAATGAGGATATTTCTCTTGGACAGATGAGGGCTCCGATCCCTGGAATGACAGTATATTTCCAACTTTACTCTTTTTACATAGGCCTATTTGTCTATGCCTAGTCATACTCCTCTTTTTCTTTTCCGACAATTTGCACCTTTAGCACATTCTCATCTGAGTTTTCAAATAAAAATACAATGATCCTGCCATCCTGCTAATCTCAATCGGCCGATGGCTAACAAGCTAACCACTACTCACCACTACTATTTGCATCTGCTACGGTATTTTGCTGTTATGTAAATATTCACGCATTCTTGTCATGAGCCATGTTCTCTGGACGATTATCTTTTCTAACCACCATTCGTAATGTCCTTATATAATCTTTTTTCATTCAAAAAGTGCCTCTTGAATTTAATAATTTTCCATAAGAACCCTTCGATTTTCATCTATTTCCATAAGCGCCCCCTCAATTTCTACTCTGTTTTCATAAGCGCCCCGTTTAAATAAGCGCCCCTCCGAAAGTGTAAAAAATATTTTAAGCGCCCGGGCGCTTATTCGCGCGAGTACGGTACATAACATACCATTAATAAGGAATGTAATAAAAATAATATCAATAAAAATCCTTGATATGAATCAAATTATTATATAATAAAATAATAATGATAATGATAATATAATAATAGTAATTATTTTCATAATTATAATGCATCATTGGAGCAACATTTAAAAACAAAATTTTGGATTTAACACTGAGAGAGCCGCAACCAAATTCCGATGTTTCCAGCGTGCTTCCAATAACCTTCAATCACTGTCTTTATACCGCTTTATGTTGAGTTTTAATATGCCTATTATTTTTTATACATGATCGCTGACGGACTGTAAAATCAAGATGTTTTCTAGCCAAAGATAGTTGGCGGACCGCTTACACCACGAAATAAAATAATCCCGAGGAGTCGCAATAATTTTGAGCTGGACAAGCATAAGCCTATAATAGATATAATCATGTACTTACACAATTACTAACTATGCCAATTCTAAAATAAATATAAGTTGTTAAATACTTTAAATAAACACCTATAGGTACACGTGTTAAGTGAAACATATTATGTGTAGAATCTATTTCAATCGTCACTATAATCAGGGAACAATGATATGTTCCTTGCTATAATTGAGAACACCTCCTTGATGATTTCAACAACCATACACACTTTAAGGCCTACATTTACTTTACACATTTATGTTTACCTTTGACAGGCGTTCAAGGCCCTCCAGGTAATAGAGGACTGAAAGGCGAAAAGGGTGAGTCGTATGTTAAGCCTAAACATGGCTATGGTAACATCACATCATGATCATATATGCACAATCTAGACTATATATGGGCACATCATGACTATATATGGGCACATCATGACTATATTTATATGCACATCATTACTATAAACTCAAAATCATGATTAAGTGTCTAATACAGGCACGTACATTAAGCGGGATATATCAAGATTGTTAGTTAAATATCATTCACCTCATTATTGTTTTACAAGCTTCGAATGCTATTTGCTATTTCTGAGAATCACATTTAGCTT